CTACTCAGGAGGCTGAGGCTTGAGCCTGGGAGGCAGAGGTTGCAGTAAACTGAGAGCTGGGATGGTGCTACTACACTCCAACCTGGGTGATAGAGCAAGACTCCATCAAAATAAATAATAAATAAATAAATAAAACACATAAAGTTTGTGTTAAAGAACATGTTATATCATAAGGAATGATCTGACATGATGTGATTTTAATGGATGTATTGTTTGTTTAATTTTAAAAGATACTTTACTTCTACTGTCCACTGTAAAGTAACTGGTATCAAATTCACTTTTCTGCAAAACAAAACAAAACTGCCACAAAACTATGAAATTATATACACCACATATATGGACCAATTGTTTTAGGTCTTGACAATAGTCAACACAGTACTGTGATGCTCAAGAGAAGGAAAACACGTAGGAGAATGCCACATTTGCCCACCTCTCTTCCTGGGAGCACTTTGCAGACCCTTGCTGTGGGGAGGTGCATCACAGGGGGATGATAGCAGTCTCACTGATTGGAGGATGCAGAGGTCAGAGTTGAGGCCTGTTCAGTAGCTAATTGAGAGTCGGCTCATATGGAAAAATGTTACATTGGGCTGGGGGTCCCCGGTGTCTGTCTTAGGATTTGCTACAGGTCTAATGGTAAGGGGTGAGCAGCTGCCACATAGGAGGATATTCCAGGTGGCCTAGCAGAGGACCGCAGCTGCAGGCTGAAAGCTGATGAGGGCTTCAAGACAGAGGATGCCTAGGGGTGGGAGAAACTAGAGTTTTGGCTCACACAGAGTAGAGAGACCTCAATGAGCATCCTGGGCATTCAGTGGAAAGCCCAGAAGTCCATGCCTCATGGAGAAGAACCACACACGAGAGCGGCTACACCACAGGACCCAGGGAAAACAGAAAGAGATGAGCCCTAATGAAGAATAAAACAAAGTCTTCAGGGATCAAAAGGACTCACCTTATATGTAATAACATAATATAATAGAAATACCTATAACATAAAATAATATACTATTCAAGAAAAAGTAGAGATAATAAATGAATAAATGGGAAAATGCAGAACATAAACAGAAACTATAAAAAATGGAATTCTGGAACTAAAACTTACAATAAGCCAAAGGTATATTTCACTGATTTATCTAAACACTTTTCATCTTCAAAACCGAGGATGAATTCTCGACATTTTCAGATAAAGAAAACTGAAGATAATTCGCGGTTAGCAGCTATGTGCTAGAATAAATACTAAAGGAAGTTCTTTAGGCCTTAGGGAAATGATATCACTTTGAAACAGACCTATAGGAAAACATAGATACTAAACAGTAAATATAAAAGATGGTCTAATTTCTTGTCATTTAAAAGCAGCTATTTTAAAACAAAAACTACAACATTGCATTTTGTGGCATTTAATTTGCAGAGAAATGAAATACATGTCAATGATTGAAAAAGAGGGACGCATGGACTTATTTGTTGTAAGGACCTTGCATTTTGCAGAAAGTAGGCACAACGTTAATTCTACCTAGGCTCTAAGGATGCATGCTGTCATCTCTAAAGCAACCACTATAAATTAACATAAGGAAGTATAGTTAAAAAGCAAGTCAAGGTAAAATACTAAATTAAAAAAATAGTTTAATCTAAAAGAAGGCAGAAGAAAGGGAACAGAGAAACAAAACAGAAATGAGACTAATAGAAAACAAATAGCAAAATGGTAGATTTAAATCTACTATATAATTTTTACATTAAATATAAAGAGATTAAACATGCTGGTGAAAGGTCAGAGACTGTTCAAATGAACAGAAAAGCAATACTAGGCAAAAGGATGTTTACAGCAGACACATTTTATACAAACACACACATCAGTTGAAAGTAAAAGAATGGAAAAAGTGATCATGCAAAGAGAAATCCCAAGTGAGCTGATGTGGCTATATTAATATCAGATAAGTAGAATTCAAGCAAAGTAATATTACCCAACAATAAAGGAGGGTATTTTACAATGTGAAAAGAGTCAGAAGACATAGCCATTCTAAATGTATCTGCACCTAATTGTGAAACTTCAAAATATATAAAACAGAAACTAATAGCACTAACATGAGAAATAGAAATATACGTAATCATTGCTGGAGATTTTAACACTCATCTTTGTGAAATTGATGGAACAAGTAGGAAATATGATGGATGATGCAGAAGGTGTAAGAAATATTATTTTAAAAATAGTTGTTTCTTGAATATTCTACCCAACCACTGCAGAATTTATATTCAAATCTCCACAGAATGTTCACCAACACAGATCATATGCTAAGCTATGAAATATGTGTCAATACATTTCAAAAGAATATGCAGAGTATATTCTCTGAACAAAATTATGAAATTAGAAATCAAAACTAATAAGCTATCTGGAGAATTATTTGGCAATTAAATAATATTTAATATATTTCTACATAATATGTTGGTTAATGAAGAAGTTACTAAATTAGAAGATATGCTTAATAATATTAAAAACCCAATATGTAAACATTTTCAGAATACAGCAAATGTGCTTAGAAAGACATGAATAGCTTTACATATATTAAATGGTTATATTAGGAAAATAAGAAAGTTTTAAAGTCAATGATTCAAGCTGCTACTTCAAAGAGCACGAAAAAGACATGCATACTCAGCCTTGGAATATAATAAAGACAAAACAGAACTTAGTGAAATAGAAAAGAATCCAACAAACAAATTTTAAAAATTAACATTAAGCCCAATATTGATGTTTTTGAAAGGATTAATATGATAAACTCCTAACTAGACTGATAAGAAAAAAAAGATTTTAAAATACATATTATCATTATGAGGAATGAAAGAGGATATATCATTATAGATCTTACAGTAATTAAAGGAATTCATAGTCATTTGTTGAAAAAATATCTCCTTTAATGTCACTTTTAATGATTTCTTTACTTTTTCCAATGAATTTGATCAGTCTAGCTAGGAGGGTCTTCTGAATAACGCTTTATCTGTTAGTGTAGTTGAATCAGTAATTACAAAAACCTTTTCATACACAGAACTCACTGGTGAATTCTAATCAACATTTAAGGAAGAAACAACACCAACCTTTTTCAAACTCTTTAAGAAAACAGAAGAGGAGGGGATACTGTCAACTGATTTTATTAGGTCAGCACAACTCTGATAATCAATTCTTGAAAAGAAATTATGAGAAAGAAATTTCCCAATAATATCAATCAAGAACACAAATGTAAAAATCATGAGCAAATATTAGCAAATCAACACGGCAGATTATAGAAATGAACAATAGATCACGACCTAGTGAGGTCATCCCAGGAATGCAGATTGACTTAACATTCAAAGTCCAATGGAAAAAACTAAAGATCAATCAATGTAATTCACCACAGTAACAGAACAAAGGAGGAAACAATATAACTATATCAATAGATGTAGGAAAAAATTTGACAAAATTCAACACAATTGTGTGATAAAATCTCTGAACGAATTGGGATTAGAGATGAACTTCCTCAGTGTGATAAGGGGTATCTGTATAAAAACCAACAGCTAACATCACACTTATTCATGGTGAAATATTATACAATTTACTTTTAATATTAATATATGGAGCAAGGTAATTATAATGTTCAAGAGCAGGCAACATTTAGCAATTATGATAGAAATGAGAATAATTGTTACTTACTGGAGTCAGGGAGGGGTTGAAAGAGGGGCACAGGGAAGGTTCTGGCTTTATGTAAATAAAACGTGTCTTGATTAAGATGCCAGTAACATGGGAGAATACATTTGTTAACATTCAGATTGCGCATGTAAAATGAGTGTGTTTCTCTGCATGTAAATATTTCCTCAAGAATAAAAATGCACCTTGCATTTAACTTTTCATTGCCTATGTTTTCCAAATGACACCAGGGCACCATGAATGACACAGTCCGTGGTCACAAAGCTAACTACCATGGAAACCAGAAGCATGATTAGAAGATCCTACCTTTGGGGGAAAAAAAAAAAAACCATTAATTTTTTGTCCATTTTCCTTAACAAACAAAGAAGAGTAACACTGAAAAAAAAATTTCTTAGGGAATTCACATCTTCTGCCCACAAGAAAAGGCACTATTGAGAATGGCTGCTGCTGCTGCTGACGGATTTACAGCTCTTGTTCCAGTCTGGGACTCCCCAGCCGAGGAGATAAGGATCCAGTTCTGGCACAGAGCTGGAATTGAACTCTGGGGGAGCTCTGCTTGACTTTAGAAGAAAGAAGATTATCACGTTAGATTTAAGTTGGGAGTATTCCCAATGCATTTTGAAATGTGTGGAAGTTTCTGGAGGACTATTTTTTTTTCTAATTTCTTCTTGATTTTATTATAAACTAGAATAAGAGAAACCTTAAAAATAGTTACTTTTATTTAATTTATGGGTAGCTTTTCCTGTGTTTGATAGAGCAGGTTCCTAAATCTCAATTTTCCCTTTCTAGCAAGAGCATATGTCTCTGTGTCACATGAGGAATTTCTGTTAGTAAATCACTCTGGTAAAGTTCCTGGGGTTGACGGAGTAGATACTACCTTCTGTGAGAGACAACTCTATAAATACCTTGTTTGAGGGAAATTTATTAATCAGTAGCCCTAGGTAGGCTGCTGCTTTATAATAAAATATGCTTATATTGGGAGAGAGGAGGGGGACTTTGTTTTCTTAAAACCATTTTTAAAAATGCAGAGTATTAATTTGCCAATTTACACTGACTAAACGTTATTGCTGAACTCCCACATGATAAATCAGAAAGAAAGATCCAACCTAACAGGCCAAGTCGGCTCTCAAATGAAAATTGATACCCACAACAGTATCTCCTGTCATCTTCTTTGCCAGTGAAACATGTGTTCCCTGTTATACAGGACCAGCCTTAACATACAGGATTTGACATTTGGTAGGTACCCAATAAATGTAGAATACATCAACATCAGTTACACTAAATAAAACAGTCTTATGAATCATGTTGCATTGAGCATGTGCCAATAATCACTTGCCTTTTTAAAGTCCAGCATGCAGAGCTTGGCTTTCTCTCCGAACTGCCACTTGCACTGTGTGTTTGCATCATATAATTCTCCTGGCAATTTCTCAGGATACTTATATTCCTTCACAGGCTTTGGTTGATCAGCAAGGCAGATAGCTTGAGCAGTGCTGAAACAAAGAGGAGATGAGCTACTAGTAACTGCCCACAGAGTAACCAAAGGACATACAACTAATTATGCCCTTTTACCCCATGCAATTTTACAGCATATATTGTGTATACCAAGCGGAGAACTTTTTGTCTCCTGAGGTCCAATATAATGTTTATCTTAATTATATGTAAATACAGAGACTTCAATTTCTGAAATTATTTATTATACATTGTACTTGTTCCAGAAAGATGATTTGTACTTATTAAATTTCTTAAACTTATGAGGAAAAGTGCAACTGAATAATTACAGCCAGTTTTCAATGTGAGAAGCTCTTATGATGGACACCTTTTATGCACATTTCTTGCCAGAATCAACCAAAAGATGGGCATTATAAAAATAAAGCACAGTTTTTTCAAAGACTGGAATTATCTTCCTTTCTTTGCTTTTTATTCTTTTTCCCTCTAGGGTAAGGGACACCTGTATATTATCTTCCAGATTCTAGAGGTTCTTCATGGAACACTGGATTTCCACCGGCAATGCTCTGTGTTCAGGATGATTTCTGATGACCCCCAAGTCAAGCAGAAAATGAACCTTGCTAAAATTCATTGGTAGATGGCTAAAGACCAACTAATAATTTCTTTTTCCATAAATAGATTATCCTCTTCTCTGCCAGGATGTTCTTTGGTATAATTTATGCACTGGGTGAAGAGTATTTAAATATTTTTGTGTTTTCAAATAGCAACTAAATCCCTCCTATAAATTTCAACAGGCCCTTCCCCGAGAAAACCAAAAAACAAAAACCTATAATCACAATATAATAAACAATGGCAGATCATCCTCCAAAATTGGCTCTGCATGGTTGTCCACCTTGATTGGAAGATTTCTGGCTCATTTCTAGGACCCCAGTCCCACGTTCCACTGCTTCAGAGCTCAGGACTCTGTGCATAAAAAGCAACAAATAGCCCATATGGGTTCTCTGTGAATTACACCAGAGACTAGGGAAGAAATTACACTAATTCTCTACAATCTCTTCCAATAAATCAGAGCAAAGGGAATATTTCCTAAATTATAAGATGAGGTCAGCATTATCCTAATATCAAAACCAGACAAACATGTCACAAGAAAGTTTTTCTTATCTCTCATAAACATAGATACAAAAATTCTCAACAAAATGTTAGCAAATTGAATCCAACAATGCATGAGAAGAACTATACACTATGACCAAGTGGGATTAATCCTAGGTCTGCAAGGCCTGTTCAATATTCAAAAGTCAATTAATGTAACCTATTACATCAATAGTCTAAAGAAGAAAAAACACATGATCATATCAATAGATGAAGAAAAAAACCATTTGATAACATTTAACACTTATTCATGATAAAAAAAAATTCCAGCAAACTAGGAATAGAGGAGAATTTCCATCTACAAAAAATATACAGTTAACATTATAATTAATGGTGAGAAACTTAAAGCTTCTCCACTAAAATCAGGAACAAATAAGAATGACTCCTCTCACCACTCCTTTTCAACACTGTAATGGAAGTACTATCTAGTATAATAAAGCAAGAAAATTACATAAAAGGTATACAGATTGGAAAAGAACAAATAAAACTATCTTTGTTCATAGACGACATGATTGTCTATGTAGAAATTTGAAAGAATCCACCAAGAAATTTCTGGAACTAATAAGTTATGGTAAAGTTGCAGGATAAAAGGCTAATATACAAAAGTCAATTGCTTTTCTACATGCCAGTGACAACCGTGACAACCGAACAGAATTTATTGAAAATTAAAAACATGTCATTTATATTAGCACCCCAAAAATGAAATAGATATAAATCCAGCAAAATATGTACAACACCTACATGAGAAAAATCTACAAAACTCTGATGAAATAAATCAAAGAAAAAACTATAGAGAGGTATTTCAGGTCCATAGATCAGAAGACTCAATCTTGTCAGGAGATTAGTTCTTCCCATTTTAATCTACAGCTTTGGTGCAATGCCAATCAAAATTAAAGGAAGTTGTTTTAAGGATATAAACAAACTGATTCTAAAGCTTATATAGAGAGGCAAAACACTTAAAATAACCAGAGCAATACTGAAGGAAGAGAACAAAGACTGACAACACCCACCTTCAAGACTTACTATAAAGTTACAAGGAATGGACAAATAGATCAGTGGAACAGTATAGAAAGGCCAATAATACACCCACATACACATAGTCAACTAATCTTTGACAAAGGAGCAAAGGCAATGGAATGGAGAAAAGATAGCCTTTTAAACTGGTCATACTGAAACAACTGGGCATCTAAACGCAAAAAAATTAATCTGCCAGGCACAGTGGCTCACACCTGTAATCTTAGCACTTAGGGAGGCCAAGGACGGTGGATCAGTTGAGGTCGGGAGTTCGAGGCCAGTCTGGCCAACATGATGAATTCCCGTCTCTACTAAAAATACAAAAATACTAGCCAGGCATGGTGGTGTGCATCTGTAATCCCAGCTACTCAGGAGGCTGAAGCAGGAGAATCACTTGAATCCGGAAGGCAGAGGTCACAGTGAGCCGAGATCACACCACTGCACTCCAGCCTGGGCAACAGAGTGAGACTCCATTTCAAAAAACAAAATAAGATAAATAAATAAATTTTAAAAATGCATGTAAATGCAGACCTTATACTCCATACAAAACTAACTCACAACGGATCATAGAGCTAAATATAAAATGCACAACTATAGAACTCCTAGAAAATAACATAGGAGAAAATCTGGGTGACCTTGGATATGACAATCGCTTTTTTGATACATCAAAGGCACAACCAATGAAAGAAATAATGACAAGCTGTACTTCATTAAAATAAAAAATGTCTGCTCTGTGAAATAAATGTCAAGAAAATGAGAAGACAAGACACGGAGTGGGAGAATATATTTGTAAAAGACATAGCCAATAAAGGACAAAACATACAAATAACACTTACAATCCAAGAATAAGAAAACAATAAAAATAACAAAAAGAATAACAAAAAGTGGACAAAAATCTGAACAGACACCTAATCAAAGAACAGATATAGATGGCAAATAAGCATATAAAAAGATCTCAACATCATATGTCATTAGGGAATTGCAAACTCAAACATCAATGAGACACCACTACACACCTCTTAGAATAGAGAAAATCCAAAACACTGACAATGTCAAACGCTGATGAGAACATGGAGAAACAGGAACTCTCATTTACCTCCAGTGAGAATGCAAAATGGTCCAGCCACCAAAAGTGTGGGTGCAGAAAGGAAAATCCTTTCAACCATTTTAAAAACAATCGACCACAATAACCATATGGATAAAATGAGTGTTGACTTTTTTCCATGCCATATACAAAAATTAAGTGGTCTACATGTGATAAGCAAACAATAAAACTTGTAGGAGATCATGTGGAAGAAGACCTTTGCAACTTTGGGATGAGTAGAGGTTTTTGTTTTTTTTTTTTTTCTAGCAGAGTACAAAAGCACCAACCCTAAAGACATATCAATAATTTGGACTCCATTAAAAAAATAAAAATTTCTGTTTAGCAAAGCCACCATTAAAAGTGTAAATAAAAAGTCACAGAGTCAGAGAAGATTTTATAATACATATATGCCAGAATGGGACAAAATGTTTATATTCAGAATGTATACAATACTCTCATCAAGAGAGAAGAAAAACAACAGGGTCTCTTTATTTTACATGCACAAAAGATTTTAGCGCTTTACTAAGAAGGTTACTCAAGTGGCCATTAAACATATAAAATGTATTCAATCTTATTAATTAATACATTGATATGAAATTTCACACTACCAGATACCTAAAATGAAAAATATCAACATGACCAAGTGTTGGGAAGGATTTGAAACCATTTTGAAAATTTCACAAACACTTCTGGGAGTGTAACTTCACACAGTCACTTAGGAAAGCTGATTAGTACTGTCTATTGCACCTGTGCATATATATTTATGACTCTGAAAATTCCATTCCTATATATACTCAGAGACATATATGCAAACCAAGAGAATATTCACAGTGCTGTTCCTTGTAATAGCCAAAAATTGGAAACTCAAATGTCTATTACAAATTGAATGAATAAGTTTTAGTATATTTATATATTTAGTATGTAAGTTATATGCAACAAACTAAGTAGACTAATGCTATATTTAGATGCAGGAACAAGGATGAATCTCACAACTGCACAATGGTGCATAACTCCTGATTCCAATATACAGTGTTCCATGTCAAGAGTTAAAGAGCTTGAGAGATCTTTTAGTTATATCCCATCATTTTTCAGTTAAGAAGACTGGGACCCTCAGAAAAGGCTATATTACTCGTCAAGGTCAAGACCTTCCCAGACATGGGTGAGCAAGACATGACCTGATTCCCTCGGTCCTTCTCTCCTCTGCAGGAAAGTGCCTACCCTCCAGTCTTAGAGTCACACTAGCACTGCAGACACGACAACTAGCCATGACCTAAGATGAGCCTTGTATCTCAGAGCAGGATGTGAATTGAAATGTATTATTTTCACTGTGTGCAAAAACACGCTTAATGGGCTCTCAGGTCAGATCTCATTTCCTATCAACAGAAGTAGTAGGGGGTATGGTGCCACTTACACTCCCAGTTCCCTGTGATGTTGGTCACCATTCTCATGCTTTGATGTGTTCAGATTCATATGGTCAGAGAGCTGGCATTTTCACTGATCTGCAGAGCTTGACTTAAATTTTTAAAAAGTAAACTGAAGATGAGTCCCTGTTGTCATGAAATTTTAAATAATGAGCTCAAATTTCCCTAAGTCACAGGCCTTCGGGATGCAGACATGAGTAATGTGATGAGGTCTGTGTCTGTTAATGGAAAATGACAAATGACTTTATTGACTCGGTTGATGAATTCACTCCAAAAAAGTATCAAGCCTTCATAACTCTACCAAGAATAGAGAAAAGTTGTGCTGAAAACTTCAGGCCAATTGAGTTCCCTTATATATTTTTTCTTTCCACTATCAAATGCTAGACTACTAATAACGAGAACAGATTCATCTTAAAAGGTAGCCATTTATCCTTACTCATTGTTGGGATCATAGCCAAAGAGCTACCTAATTGGTGGAGAATATAACAGTATTTTGATTACTTGGAAATCAGAAAGTCAGCAAACAATCAAACAAGACAGTCTCAGATTCATTAAGTCAGTGAAAAAGTCAAGATTTAACACACTGTAGAAGTGTCCAATTTGCAACTGGTTTTCGAGTAAAATGAATCTTAATAGTGAACTTGACAACAAGAGACTTTCTTGGAAAATTTCACTATTCAAGAAAACAAATTTGGAAGCACGTAAAACCTTACCTATTTATTTATACTCATGTGGTCAGAAAAAATTAGTAAAGTCCCTGAAAATAAATGTTTATCATTGAAATGCTACAGAAGTGTTTTGCTGGATTCACACAAAAACACATCAGCACACTTCAACTTACAGTTCAGGTGTTCCAGTATCATAGAATGAAAATGGCTTTTAATTTCAGTATCTTAATAATCACTCTTAGGACTACATTATATCTTCAAGATGACAATCTATTTTCAATGTCCTCAAAATAATTACTCTCCGAGCACGTAATTATCTTCTTTCCATGAGTCTGCCTATATTTTTTTGGCAGTTTCAAAACTTTTCTTGGACTTGCATTATGCTGGTTCTCACTGCACACCCAAATTATAATCCACTGATTTTTCAAGTTGTCAGAGGATATTTCAAAGTAGAAAAAGTGTTACTGTATCTTCCTCATAACCATTAAGATGAAAAAGAGGGTTAAAAAATTCTGAATCTAGAAAATTATAGAAAGGATCTGGAATATAGAAAACTCCAAATTTTCCTCGTTAACGCAAATAAGAGCATGGTGAGCCTAAAGTGAATAATCTTCCTTGTTTCCCAAA